GCACAGAGATAAGGAACCGAGAGGAAATAAAGCAACACGGGAACTAAAAGAAAAATCTGAAAGAACTGTAATTAACATCCTTAAACACATAAAACGTTGTGTGTGTAAAACAGGAATAGGAGGTGATAAAAAAAATAGAGAATTAGAAAGAACTTCAGAAATTAAAAATAGGAAAGCCGAATGTTTAAAACTTTACTAGCAACATTAAAAATGAAGTTAAAGAAAATATTTTTAAAAGTAAAGCAAAATAGGAGAAAAGAAAATGAGATGATTATTGGTTGAGGAAATCCAACACCCAAATAACAGACATTTCAGAAGGAAAAAAATAATAATAACAGGTGAAGGAAATAAGCAAATAAAGAATACAAGAAATTGCCCCAGAACCGACAGTCTCTATTGAGTACCTTGCACAGCACAGTCAGTCATTCAGTGGCCACACCAAGGTACAGCATCTTGGTATTTCAGAGCATTAGCATTAGAAAGGATTATCAAAACTTCCAGAGAGCAGCCAGTGCAGGGCCGCAATGAGCAGGGACTGAAGGAAGGAAATGTATTCAGCGTCTCCCCACAAAAGGCTCTATGCTGTTCCTTTACCTGGGTTATCTATTTGAATTACATTTAAGAAGGGGCAGTGGCTTACGCCTATAATCCCAGCACTATGGGAGGCTGAAGTGGGCAGATCACTGGTGCCCAGGAGTTCGATACCAGCCTGGGCAACATAGCAAAACCAAAACACAAAAATCAGCTAGGCGTGGTGGATTGAACCTGTAGTCCCAGCTACTCATGAGGCTGAGGCATAAGAAGCTCTTGAACCTGGGACGCGGAGGTTTCAGTGAGCCTAGATTGCACCATTGCACTCCAGCCTGGGCAACAGAGCAAGACTCTGTCTCAAAAATAAATACTTAAATAAAATTTTAAAAATGAAAATAAAACAATTGTTTCTATACACTTGAAAGTATGATACCGCATACTGGAACATGTCAAGACTATAAATTAGGAGACCTCAGGAACAGCCTCAAATTAGTGTCAGTCTAACTGTGCAACCTTGGGCAAATCACTAGTGTCTCCGGATCTCAGTGTCCTCGCCTACAAAAAAGGTAACTTGGACAAGATCAGTAGTTTTCAAAGTGCAGTGTGCATATCATCAGTGGCACAAGATACAATCTTAGGTGGCTCACAAATGGATAGAGGTTATTTTGACAGATATGCAATTTTAAAACATGTATTAGCACATGAAACCCATGATATCATAACTATTATTGTTTTTGTTGAAAAATTTTTAAGTTAAAGAAAAATATGGCCAGGCGCAGTGGCTCACGCCTGTAATCCCAGCACTTTGGGAGGCCGAGACGGGTGGATCACAAGGTCAGGAGATCGAGACCATCCTG